AAAAAAAAAAAAAAAAAAAAAAAAAAAAAAAAAAAAAAAAAAAAGGCAGCAATCCCAAAACTGACAGGAATTGGCTGAAAAAACAAGAAAGGAAAACAGAACCAACTTTGAAAAAGCCTACTTCATCTATCCAAAGGCACATAAAAGTATCGAATTAATACAGAAAACTTTACAACATTACATTTCTACATTAAAGTGGACATCACAGGGAAAAAATGTTTAGCTCTGTTAATGTTCACAGCTTCATGGTCCAAGTGAGGAGGTTACACATCCATCTTCCCTCAGTTGTAACAGACTATCTCTGAAGCATTGGGATGAAGTAATTCTCCCCTATATGCTTTACAAGTGTCTCAGAGCATTTATCAAGATAGAGTCTATCCTAGAGCTTAAAAGAAAAACAGATTTAGGATAACTGAATTCATAACAGGATATTTTCATTGACTACAATGATTGTAGAAAAGCTACAATCATAACAGAAAGACAAAAGTAAAGTTTCCAAACACTCAGAAACTAAAGAATACATTTCTAAATAACCCATGTGTCAAAGTCCAGATCTTAAGGGAAAATGAAAAATACATTCAACTGAAAGACAGTTAAAAAGACAATACTCCAAAGTTTGAAGATTCAGTATAAAAAATGTTGAGTGGGAAATTTCTAGCAAGCACTGAATGATTACAAAAAAATAGAAGTAAATATTTCAAATAAAAAGTATAATTTCCTGCCTCCCTGCCTTGAAAATTTAAGAGAAGATGTACAGGATTATTTTTAGGATCTCTATGCTATTTTATTGTTATTTGTGTCTAATTTTATGCCTGTACCATGCATGTCATTACTATACCTCTGTAGTATATAGAAAAGTCATAGTAAATGCATCCTGCTTTGTTAATTTTTTTCCTTTAGATGGCATTGGTTATTTGGAGATATTGGTTTCATATAAATTTTGTGGGTTTTTTTTGTTCTCTGAAAATATTATTAGTATTATTTTGAATCTTTGGGTAGCTTTGGGGAATTTAAATAATATTGTTACATTCAGGCAACTAATTTTAAACACAGGTGCCATGAACATTGAATAAACTATCATCTTTCTAATAAATGTGGCTGGGAAATTATATAGACATACACACACACACACACACACACACACATATATATAGATATAGATATAGATATAGACATATATGCATATGAAGAAGAATGCTCAAGATCCTTATGCCATAGTGGTTATAAAAAATAAATTCATATTGACTAAGGATCTAAATGTAAGACCTAAAGCAATGCAACTTCTGGGAGAAATAATACCTGTTTCTTAACCAGGTAAGAAATGTTTTAAGTCATAGGAATAGTAAAAGATATTTTTGTGGCAAACCTCAAAATCAAAGCAAACAAAAGCAAAAGGAGACAAATAGGATAATGTCAAAGAAACAATTAACAGCACTGACAATCTACCAAATGGGAGAAAATATTTGCAAGCTATACATCGGAATGCACAAGAACTTCAAAAAACTCAACAAAGCAAAAGATGACTGAAAATATGGACAATAGGTGTAAACACAGACATCTTAAGACATTCAGATGATCAATGGGAAAAACCACTCAACTTCATTAAATATCTGGGGTATGAAAATTGAAAGGAGATATCACTTCACTTAGATTAAATTGTTATGAAAAATTCTAATGACAACAATGCTAAAGACGAGCAAAAGAAAAGAGAATCCTGTATACCATGGTCTGGAAGGTAAATTAGCACAGCAATTAGGAAAACAGCATGGATCTTCCTAAAACATTTAAAAATGGAGCTACCATAGGATCCATTAATCCTATAAATAGGTATTTATTCAAGAAAAATAAAATTAGTAGAGGAAAGAGATAGCTTCACTATAGCTAAAAATGGAAGGAGTAAAAATGTCCAAAGCTGATGAATACAAAGTATGGTACATAACAGTGGAATACTAGACATTAAAATAATTAAAGAAGAACAAAAGAAAAGAGAATCCTGTGCATCATTGGTGGTAACAAGAATGGAACCAGACAACGTTATATTAAGTGAAATAAGCCAGGAACAGAAAGGTAAGTTTCTATATGACTTCACTCCCATGAGTAATGTGTAAAAATTTGAGGTCATTCAAATTGAAAATAGAATGGTTACCAGAGGCTCCTGTGAGTGAAAGAGGGACAGGGGCAATCTAATCTTCTATTCTATATTACAAATACAAGTTATTCCTTCTCAAAAGGACAGGGGATAAAGATATGGAGAGTAGTGGAAGACAGGGAAAAGGAGTGAAGATGAGTTTTGAACTTGTGCCAACTCCATTCAAGGAATGGAAACAATATATACTGCAAACATTTAAAAAGGCAAAAAAAAGTGAAGATTTTTCACCATAAAAGTGTTTTTTTAGAGGAGATAAACACATTTATCATGATTTAAATATTAATTAATATGAATATCAAAATATTACGTGGCACTCCACTGGCATATAGAATTTTTATGCTTTTATGTATTAGTGGAAGTTTCTCTGTTTTTGTTTTTCACTTTAAAAAGGATACTACAGGGCTGGGGATTTAGCTCAGTGACACCATGCCTGCCTCACAAGCACAAAGTCCTGGAGTTTGATCCCTGGTACAAAATTAATTAATTAACTAATTAAAGATACTATGAAATATTGCCAGGTAGTTATGAAAAGGAAATATAAAGCTATTTTAAAATTTAAAAATAATAAAATAACAAATTAGAAACAGATGTGTGAAAAAATAATTAGGCAATATTAATAAATATACACACTAATTGTATGAAAATGCATACTTTCCTATTTTTTAAATTAAAAGTAATTTTGTATGTGCAACTAAAATTCTAGATGGTTTCCATATATGATTAACATAGTATAAATTTTTAATCTTTTTAAGATTTTCTAATAATTAGGCAAAGGCAAGGTATGTTAAGAATTTTGAACATTACTTAGGTTTGCATTAAAAATTTTTAAGTATCGTCAAAAGTAATAGACATGTAAGTCAGGCATGGTGTTGTATGACTGTATTTCCAGCTACTCAGGAGGCTGAGCCAAGAGGATCACGTATTCAAGGCCAGCCTGAGAAACTTAATGAGATCCTGTCTCAGAATATAAATCAATAAAATAAGAAAGACTGGAAATATAGCTGGTAGAACACACCTAGTCTGGATCCCCAGCACTGCAAAATGATTAAAGAAAAAGAGAATATACATATAATCTTTGAAATAGAAAAATATCAAGGTAGTGTAAAATAAAATTACTCAAGCCAAAAGAAAACAAATGTTAGAAATAATCTAAATGCATGGTTAGTCACAAAATGTGAAAACATACTAAATTCTGCAGTTTAAATATTGAGGGAGTTGAAAATAAAGGCAGTAGTTGGCTCTTAATAGGAGTCAAAACAATCATAAGAAAGTGTAAAATTTGAAATAAAATGTTGTCAAAATTATACACTATGCAAATGCCAACATACATAAAGATGGTACAAATTGCAGACTAAGCAATCCATCTACTTGGGCAGCTGAGTCAGAAGGATTTCAAATTCAAAATCAGCTTGGGCAACTTAATGACATTGTGTTTCAAAATAATATATATATATTTATATATTTGCCTAGATTGTTCCAGGCCCTGTGTACAATACCTACTACTGCAAAACAAAACATCGTATATGAAATAAGAAAAAAAAACCTACACAGAAGAAAGAAACAAGGAGGGACATGCATTCCTAGATAATAAGAGAATAAATTTTTATCAAAAAATTATAATAATATAAAACCAGAACATAAAAGGAGAAGTTATGGTATAAAAAAAGAATTAAGGTATGTTTTGTACATGTACTAACTTCCCAGGATGAATGTAATCATTATGTATTGCAAACATGTACAAATAAAATAAAATAATGTATATGATTATGTAACCTCAGAGTGTAAAAAGTAAAAGTTGGCAGAACTAGCTTACTAGCAACTTTTGGGAATAAGGCAAGTATTAAAAAAATTAAATAAAACACTTGAATAATATAAATGATAACTTTAATGAATTAATACTGTATACCACATATGAATAAAAAACTATATAGCAAGTACTAAAGTATTATAATAA